CTCCCGTGTTCACACCATTCTCCTGCCTCAGCCTCCCAAGTAGGTGGGACTACAGGCGCCCACCACCATGCCTGGCTAATTTTTAAAATATTTTTAGTAGAGACGGGGTTTCACCGTGTTAGCCAGGATGGTCTTGATCTCCTGACCTCGTGATCCGCCCGCCTCGGCCTCCCAAAGTGCTGGGATTACAGGCGTGAGCCACTGCGCCTGGCCAAAAGTTGTCCTTTTAAAAAATGAGATAGAGCAGATTCTAGTGCCCATCTGATATCTCCATTACTATAGAAATATTTAGGGCAACAGATTGGCAAGGCTGTGTCCTTCAAGCTGACTGACCCTTGAAGAGTTCTGAGAGGCACACAACAGGACGTGCCCTGGATCTAAAGGATGGTGACCACTGGTCTTACTGCATAGTGTGGGATCTACTAAAGTTATTCAGTGTGCTTGGCTCTATATCACTTTGATGTTTTTCTCCGTATCTACTCAGTCATTGGCTTTCTTAGTTCATTTTACACGTATTGAGTACTCCTCAGACGCTGTGGGTACCAGAATGAATGAGCCACAAATGTTGATCATAGTCTGTGCTTCCTATTGACGGTCCAAGATGTTCTCATCAGGAAAAACAGCCCTCTTTGTTTTGTCTGTGTTGTAGCTGAGAATATTGTACTGAACTAGGAGATGTTTTTCTCTTGGGAATGAACATGTCTCACAGTATAACTAGCACAGAATTATGTTAACAAGTTTACTCAACAATAAGAACCATATTTACCATTTATTCAGTGGTTGTTACGAGATGCCGGTAAACTTACTGTCTCGGAGGTTCTGTTACTTCACTTGGAACAGATTAACTTTCCAGTTTCCCTGCATCACAGCACAGCTTCCTATAACAGTTTGTTACTTCTGGTTCTTTGCCAGTCCAGCACTTTTCAACTTAATGTTTCACTCTCACAATAACTTCCTATCTAACCTGTCTTCTCTCTCCAACCTATCACATATAGTGTCTATGGACTAATATTCTGATTTCATCCTGCTATTAACCTGATCACAAAATTCCAGATTGCCCATTTCCTGTAAACTCTTATGACTAGACAGAAACTCACCCCACGCTATGCCTCCCCTTACTTACCCAGTCTCACTTCTTATTACTCCAAGTTAGTTATACCTCAAACAACTTGAGCTTTCTTGACTCTGTATTTGCTCCTGCAGTTCTTCCTGTTGGAAAGTTTTTCCCTCCTACCTTCATCCTCCTACTTCAAGATCAGCTTAAATTCAGCTCCTTTCTTCTGTAGCCTTCCCCAACTGCTATTGTTCACATCAATTTTCTGAAATTAGCGTCTACTGTCAGTATAGTTCTTTAGGACTTAATCCCATACTGACTTGGATTGTTATTTAACTGATTCCCCTCTGCAACTTCTTTTTCCACCTAGATGTTAAACTATCCAGAGAAAATAGGCTCACCTTAAAAGTTGCCTTTGTCACATATATACCATGGAATACTATGCAGCCATAAAAAAGGATGAGTTTGTGTCCTTTGTAGGGACATGGATGCAGCTGGAAACCATCATTCTTAGCAAACTATCACAAGAACAGAAAACCAAACACCGCATGTTCTCACTCATAGGTGGGAACTGAACAATGAGATCACTTGGACTCGGGAAGGGAACATCACACACCGGGGCCTATCATGGGTGGGGGGAAGGGGGAGGGATTGCATTGGGAGTTAAACCTGATGTAAATGATGAGTTGATGGGTGCTGACAAGTTGATGGGTGCAGCACACCAACATGGCACAAGTATACATATGTAACAAACCTGCATGTTAGGCACATGTACCCTAGAACTTAAAGTATAATAATAATAATAATAATAATAAAAGATAATACACACACACACAAAAAGTTGCCTTTGTGTCTCCTCCTAGTTTTAGGCAGTTGTTACGCATACCTTTGATGCTTAATACATGTAAGAAATAAGTGTGGATTGAATAAATTACCACTGGCTCCAAGCATGTTTTTTTTCCCCCTTTCCTTTATAGCTGATGCCTGCCTTCTTAAGTCCTTAAGTTCTGTATTTACCCATCTCAGTGTTTTTCAAACCTTTCTAACCATAACCAATAGGAAGAAACTGCTTTTATATTGTGACCTGATGTACATGTATATGAAAAATTCACAAAACAATATGTGTAAGTACTTACTCTGTGCCATGTATTCTGATGTTTTCTATTTTTTAAAATACAGATCATGACACACTAAATTGATTTCACCACCAAGGGGTTATAATTACAGTATTGTTGGGACTCAGAAATCAATATCCCAAATATAGTTTTTGACATGCTGAACTGAAGCCGCCGTAAAATCTCTCTGGCGTCCCCTCTTTGCCCCCACCACCTCTCCCAAAGCACATGATGAAGCTGAAGTTCCTTTATCTGCCCAAGATCTAGACCCATCAAAAGTAACAACTGTTTTTCCTTCCCCTTCCTGTAAGACCAAGAATGTAACCACACCTAATAGACCCTTCGAAAAAAATAACATACAAGTTAATTAATCTCCGTTCCCTGATCCATTCATCTTCCCTAGTAACTTCCTCAACAGAATTCCTCTTCTCCCCACTCCCATAACCTGTTTTGCCAGGATGGTATATAAGCTTGCCAACCACATTAGGAGGTGGGCAATCACTTTATGATTCTCCGCATGTGCATACTGTGTGCACATCAAATAAATTTATATGCCTTTTCTCTAATTAATCTGCCTTTTGCAAGTTGATTTTTCGGCAAATCTTCAGAGGGCCAAGGGGGAAAGCTTTCCGTTGACCTGTACAGTAGAAAAACGCTCTCCTATCTTATGCTCCTTGTATTAACATGAGGTGTATAGTACCGCTCTTTAAAAAAATGCTTCAAATGGCCAGGCGCGGTGGCTCATGCCTGTAATCCCAGCACTTTGGGAGGCCATGGCGGGTGGATCACGAGGTCAAGAGATCAAGACCATCCTGGCCAACATGCTGAAACTCCGTCTCTACTAAAAATACAAAAATTAACTGGTTGTGGTGGCATGCGCCTGTAGTCCCTGCTACTCGGCTACTCGGGAGGCTGAGGTAGGAGAATCAATTGAATCTGGGAGGCAGAGGTTGCAGTGAGCCGAGATCAGGCCACTCCACTCCAGTCTGCCAACAGAGCAAGACTCCATCTCAGGAAAAAAAAAAAAAAAAAAAAAACGCTTAAAATACTACTTGGGCTGTTCATTCTGTTCCTGACAGTTGGAGCTTCAATTTGATCTTTACATAGTTACCTTGAGATTACTTCTTACCATATTCCACCAGAGCACTAGGGATCAACCCCTTCCTTCCCCCAATTTCTTCCTTTTGAAATTTGGGGCACAATTAAATAATGATACACAAAGTGTTCTCCAGATTGCTATTTCTTATGTTACCTTGAAATTTTAGAGGCATATAAATAAAAATTTCCAGGCCTCATTTGTAATCAAACCATTTGCAGATGAATAAAGTAGGCATGACCATATTTTTATTTCTAGACATAGCTTAAGAGCATGAGCACTATTGCCTGACAATCCAGAATCTGAATCCTAGCTTTGCCAAATTAGTGTGAGGCTCCATTTCTGCATCTATACAAAATAGGAATAATACCTACTTCAAGGCATTGATTGGAGTTAAATTACAGCATACAGGGAAAGAACTTGATACAGGACCTGAGTGCTCCATGAATGGACACAGTGCTCCATGAATGGTAGTAAGGTTTTGTCACTAAATATATCTCAAACTTCCTTTTAGGGTCATAAAGTAGGGTTTAGTCATAAGAATAAAAGATGACTTTTCAAGTATCTAGCTTTTTTTTTTTGAAGTTAGATGATTTATAATATAAAATTCCATGTTGGTTTTATAGATCATAAATATCCCCAAAGAAAGATTCTATTTGTGGTGCTGGATAAGCATTATATAATAAGAAAGGTCTACTGAAACTAGAAGATTGAGGATACACATGCAACGACCTGCCTAGTCATGCTAATCTCATTTAGATTTGTTCTTAATTTTTTTTTTAACCACAAACGTCTGTCGGTGAAGTGTGCTTTAATTCAGCAAAAATACAGCATTCAATACATATACATAATACAATATGTATACGAGGCTGCTTTTAAACAACGCCAAATCTTTAAGTCAAAGCCTTGTTCCAGTTGCTGCTTGTTGTTCCTTATGAGCTTGTTCTTGTTCCTTATGAGCTTGTCATCCACACACTTTTTTAACCCAGGTCAAGTTACTTCTACGGGTGTTTTTGATTGCAGAAATTTGGCAGTTAACAGTAAACAACTACCTTTTTATGCAAATTATCTTCCCCTGAACCTGTCCAATTTAGCACACGACAAGACAGAATATCTCATCCATTCTCCTAGAAACACGGGCCCAGGCCGTACCAGGCTCAGGGGAGTTGCAATGCTTTCCAATCACTTGGGTGTGATCACGATTTCCCTAGCCCCGTCTCAGCCATTTGCTAAAGAAGAGCCCTGACTTGTGTTGAGACAAAAGCTCTGACAACTTGATGGTACCCAAACTGGGCCTTCTGGGGATTAACTTTCAGTCACATACGCTCAGGACTGTGCGTATGCTTGTCGGGAGACTGGTGGACCAAGAAGCCAGACAGCCCGAAACAGACCTGCAACAGGAGGTAGAGAACCGAGGAATCAGCCCCAAGCGGCCGACTCCGGAGACGGCCAGACCCACAGACACGACTTAATCCCACTCTCAGAACGGGGAGGAGGGTGGCAGTGAACAGAAAGTGCGTCTGAGAACCCGGCACCTTTCCACGCTCCCTTCTTCCCGGACCCACAACACAGACTCCCACCCCCTGCTCGGAACCACGGCGGAGCGCGCCAGGCCCCCCTCAGTCTGCCCATCCCCTTTCGTCACGTCCGGGGGCGGGCCGGGGCGCCGGGGGCGGTCCCGGGTGGAGTCGGGGGGCGGGGCGGGGCGGGGGTGGGGTTGCGGGGGTGCTTCTGGTGACAACGGTCAATAATGAAGGTGGCTGCGGCGCGGCGGCAGGCTCAGCTGCGCCGGGCGGGGGCGGCGCCGGGGCCGCGCCTGTAGGACTCGGGGCCGACGCCGCGGGATGGGGACGCGGCGCGGGGAGTGAGGCAGTGGCGGCGGCGGCGGTAAGCGGAACTTCGGCCCGAGGGGCTCGCCCGCTCCCGCCTCTGTCTTGTCCGCCTCCACCTGCAGCCCCGCGGCCCCCGCGCCCCGCGGGACCGGGACGGCGACGACGGGGGAATGTGGCGCTGGATCCGACAGCAGCTGGTAGGTGCTCCCGTCCCTCCACTTCCGTTCGTCCGCCCCTGCGCGGCCTCTCGGCCCGGGGTGGCGGGGAAAGGCCGGCGGCGCCGAGCCGGGAGGCCAGGGCGCGGGCGCCCGGCTAGGCCGCAGCGGGGACGGGCGCGGGGCCCAGAGCCGGAGAAGCCCCGTGCGGCCCCCGCGCTCGTCTCGCCTCCAAGCCCGGGTCCCCGAGGCTGGCGCTTCTCCGTTACTTCCTCCCCCTTGGCGCTCCGGGGCGGCTGTGACCAGAGGAGGGAGTCCCGAGCGGAGTGGCGGTGCCCTCTGAGGAAACAGGGCGAGGGAGCTGAGCGAGAGCAGGTCTTGGGGAGATGAGAGAGGCGTGCGCTTCCTGCCTCGAACAATTTGGGACGTGTTTGGGTGAAGGGGAAGCGAAGAACCTGTCTTCTGCCTCCTGTCGTCACGGACTTCTGGAAGCGTGTCACGATTCAGAGCCGTGTTGATTCCCGAGGAGGAGGCTGTCGTAGGTAGTCTAACCCCCGCAGCGAGAGACGTTAATCCCCAGGACCTGGAAAGGGGAAAGACTTCCAGCTCCTGGTCTAGCTTCGGAAACGATACGTATGATAGTTATGAACAATACGTACTGTCGTTTCCTTCCTACCTCGTCCTCACCCCACCCCGAGTGAAACTTTTCGAATGTGAACCTTACTTTTTTCCCATTCTCCTCAAGGCAGTTTGAGCGAGACAGGTTTGGAAGGAACAGTTAACTCTCCAGTATTACTGGAACATCTGGACACCACCAACCAAAGATCTTAGAAAAGGGTGATTTGAGGCCTGTAAGAAGTGCCACCTTTCCCAGAATCAATTCAAAGAGAAAAATCTTTTCTGCCTCCTGGCAGCTACAGCGCAGAAAGTACAGCACTAAGGCAGCTGTGACAATTAGGACAGAAATTGCCCCTGGCTGAAGAAGCCTAACCTTATCTGTGTGATGAGGCCGGTTACTATTTAATTTCTAAATCGCATTAACTTAATGCTTCTACAAGTTAGTGTTTTCATTTACTAATTCTAAAGGCAGTGGTACAATTTAGTGAAACAGTAACTATTTTTGTGGGACGAAAGCATTGATACCTCTTTTCCCCTTCTGCACTAGAAAAGCATTTTAACGTTAAGACCAAGAAGTGTGGGGTTTCAGAGCCAGCCTTCTGTTACTTCGTTTTGCAGTGGGCATCATTCTCAAAAAAAAAAAAAGATTTATAAATAAGAACTGCCTCCCACTCCCTCCTACAAATGTTGGCTCTCTATTTTTAGCATTGTAAATTCAGATATCCCAGATATATGCTTTATTAGGAAACCAAGCTAATGATGTCATTATAATACCATCTTGTTGTAATACTTTGAATTTGTTGCCGTTAAGTTGTAGCACAGTAATTTTACTCAGGAAGGTAATTATTGCAGGTTTGATCTTATGCTTTTGATTTGCCAAAGCTTCGTGTATAGAGGGCTGATTTACCTCCTGGTGTTTTTGTGTGGTAGGAAGATCATTTTAAAGTGGGTCTCTTGAAGCTTTTTAAAAATATATTGAGACATCCTTTGGCGCTGTTAGATATTTTTTAGCCAGAATAAAATCCTGGTTGTATAACCACGCTCATCTTCAAGAGAGAAAATCTGGTAATGTTTTTTAAAATGGCTTCAAATGAACACAGCTAAAAGGAAGGGCCGGAAGTTGTGTGTGGTTATTTTACAAGGCAGCCGTCTTACAGGGATGGTTAACGAGTTGAACAAGTTGCTGTGCATAAAAAATGCTATCTCTGACATTTAGTTGCTCACCTCACTGGTTTTAAGTTATCAGATCCTCTACATATGTAATCATACCGGGCCAGCGTAGGACTTTGTGTCTCTGGTTAAGTTTGTATGGTCACGTAAAGTAAACATCAAGGACACTGGATACAGTGTAAGGAAAGTATATTTTACTGTCCCAGTCATAAACAGCTATTCTAGTTATTGCACCAGAAATTATTCAACCCAAGTAAAAGCTAGTTTAGATTATACTTCCATTGGCTTAATGGATTGAATCACCATGACTTTCAGCAATGGGTTTATTTTAAAATTCAGATAAATAGGACAAATTTGGGGAAATTGACAAGCAAATCCTAAGGACAGGTTGGAGTTATAAGCATATTTAATTCATTATATTATATTGAATCTCGATTTTCAACTAATGTTGTCTCAAAAAAAGTTGTCCTTTTATTACAGAAACAACACGTATGCTCTAGTAATTTCTTTTTAATTAAAAAAAAAGTGTGACTCCTTATGATGACAAAGTATTTTGACTACTTGAGAAGATGGAAAAAACCAGAGGGTTGACAGGAGCTTGATCTTTTCTATTGGGAAAGTAGACTGAAAATGAAAAGATTGGAATATGCTTTTCTTTTTTGTTTTTGTTTTTTGGCACACAATGTTGAAGTTATTTTACACTAAGAAAATTCTCTTATGGTGTCTTTGTGGTACAGTTAGTATTATTCAAAGTGTACTCATTTTCAATAGCATATTTGATGTGTTAACTCATTAGAGATGACAATACCTTGATTGTAATTATGGAAATGCCATTAGCTACTCACTGTATTCTAATATTTAGACCTGTACGGTAGCCATTAGCCACAAGTGGCCATTAAAATTAAAATTTGAACCACATGTGGCTATTAAAATTAAAATTAGAATTCATGTGTCTATTGGATGCCATTGGCTACCATATTGGACCGTTAATATTTTTATTATCACAGAAAATTCTAGTGGACAGCACCAATTTAGGCTTTTAAATGAAAGTCTGTGTCAGTACACATTTGAATGTAATAAAGCATTTGCTGTGTGCTGGTATTAAAATATGCTGAATACTGGGGGCACAAATGTTGGTCAGGGTCACACTCTACATGAGTAGACATTGAGTACATGTTGCTGAAAAAATAATAGATGAGGAAAGAAAGAGTGAATCTGTAATGTTTTTTCTGTGTTTGGAGACAAAAGTGACAAAATTTAAGATTGGCTAGCCCAGAAAACAGTTAGAAAATAAGTAATTACACAAAACCAATATTACTAGGATAACTGTTTCTTAAATTGTTCCATAAATGTAAACCCTTTAGATTGTATTGGTGATGGTGGTAGGAGGCTGCTAAGATTGTCTTCTGATTAACTGAGAAAAATGAGGTCTTAATCTGAACTCAGTCAACTTTCTGTTCTTTCTCACACTCACCAAACTTGCTTATATTGGTACTTAATTCTTCCCTTCTTTCCCACAATCACAAGGAAGATGCAACCCTCTTTTCCAAGGTAACAATTCCACTTAAGCTCTTGATCTGTTTCTTTCATACTGCTGTCGGTACTCCATCAGTTACCGTTAGTATGTTTCTTTTCTTTCTCTTTCTCTTTTCTCTTGTGAACATGTTCAGGCCTCTCTCTGCTACTTTTTCCTATACCTGTAACTGCCAAATTATTTTTAATTTTCTGAAAAACAGATCTATTCTATAAAACTATGCTGGCTGATATATTTGAAATGTGGCTGGTTTGAGTAGAGTTATTCTTACATATAAAATACACATTGGATTTCAAAAACAGTATTAAAAAATGTGAAACTTGGCTGGGCACGATGGCTCATGCCTGTAATCTCAGCACTTTGGGAGGCCGAGACAGGCGGATCACCTGAAGTCAGGAGTTCAAGACCAGCCTGGCCAACATGGTAAAACCCCATCTCTACTAAAAATTTAAAAATTTGCCTGGCATGGTGGTGGGCACCTGTAATCCCAGGTACTCAGGAGGCTGAAGCAGGAGAATCGCTTGAACCTGGGAGGCAAAGGTTGCAGTAAGCCAAGATCACTCCACTAGACTCCAGCCTGGGTGACAGAGGGAGATTCTGTCTCAAAAAAAAAAAAAAAAAAAAAAAAAGAACTCTCATTTTTTTATTAGTTACATGTTGAAATATTATAATTCTTTGGATATGTAGGTAAAGTAAAATAAATTTTTAGAATTTTATGTGTTTCTTTTTACTTTTTTTTAAGTGGTTAGAAATTTTAAAGTTACCTACGTGACTTGCATCTGTGACTCATGTTCTGTTTCTATTAGTGCTGCTATATAACATTAAAAGTGAATTTCTGTATCCTGGTAAGCATAGTGAGATCCCATCTCTAGGAAAGAAAAAAAATTAGCTGGGCATTGTGGTACTGACCTGTAGTCTCAGCTACTTGGAAGGTTGAGGTGGGAAGATACTTGAGCCAAGGAGTTTGAGGCTGCAGTGAGCCATGATCGTGCCACTGCACTCTAGCCCGGGTGACAGAGTGAGACCCTGTCTGAAAAGAATAGTGAGCTCCTGTTTTTACAGAACACATTATGGAAGTCTAGATATCTCACTTACTAGACTAGACTAGGATAAGAACCATATCTTACTTGTGTTTATATTCCTTACACTCAAGACAGCAGTTGGCCCATTGTAGGTAAATGTTGGTTGAATGAATGAGTGAGTATCAAATCTAATTCAGCATCAGTTTGAAAATACCTGCTTTCTTTGCCTCTTTTCCAAAGAATGAATGAAGGAATTGAAAAAGGAAGCACTGGCCTATGGTGGTATTTTTTTTGTGGTTAAGTCTTAACCTCAATAATTAATGTTTAAGAACCTAGATCTGTGAATATGTGCTGCTTTATCTCAATTTTCGGACATATATTCTTAGATACCCACTTTTGCATTTGGTTAGGAAGAGGATAGAGCATTAGAGGAATCTCAGGTATTCCCAGCAACAATGAAGTAGGGACCTTGCTCCAGATCCTCTAAAGAGCCTTATGATTACCATTATTGTCATTAAATGTTTTCTAGACCTGTGCTATTCAACATGGTATCCACATATGGCTGTCAAAATGTAGGCACTTGAAATGTGTCTACTCTGAATTGAGATGTGTGTGAATGAAATACACAATGGATCTTGAAGACTTAGTTTGGAAAAAGGATGTAAAATATCTCATTCATTTTCTAATTGATTACATGT